CCAGGGCTCCTTAAGCACAGTATAAATGTTTATAAAACAAAATCCCTGCACAACAGTGTGAATTTTCTCTGTAAATTTGGTCGAGGCAACTGCTACAATGCTGATGAAATTCCACAATCTTGTTGTCAAGGAGCCTTGGTGATGTGGTGGGTTACGGATTGGGCTGCTAACCATGAGATCTGGAGTTCGAACCCACTCGTAGTTCCTAAGAGAAAGATTAGGTTTTCTGCTCCCGTATTTACATTCTCAGAAACCTACAATGGTAGCTCTGTCTGCCCTACAGTTTCACAGAGTCAGAATCAACTCCAAGGCAGTCAGGTGTTTTTTCTTTTCTTTTTTGGCTTTGTGTTGTTGTTTTTGTCATATGCTGTTGAGTTGGTTCTGACTCATAGTGACCCTATGTACAACAGACCAAACTGCTGCCTAGTCCTGCACTGTCCTCACAGCTGTGGTTTTGTCCATTGTTGCGGCCACTGTGTCAATCCATCTCATCGAAGCTCTCCCTTTTTCCTTCCTGACCCTCTGTTTTACCAAGCACGATGTCCTTTCCAAGGGACTGGTTCCTCTTGATAATATGCCCAAAGTATGTGAAACAAAGTCCCACTATCGTCACTTCTAAGGAGTCTGAGGAGCACTATGTTTATTCTTTGTCCAAGACAGATTTGTTTGCTCTTCTGCTGGTCCACTGTACATTCAATATTCTTTGCCAAAGCCATAATTCAAATGTGTCACATGTTCTTAGTGAACTTTATTATTGGCTATTGCACTGCCAGCAGATTGAACAGTGAAAGTAATTTGGAATTAGTTCACAAATCCTTGATCCTGAATAGGTGAAAATTCTAAAACCATGGTTCTTTGGAAATATTTGAGACCCCTATTTTTTAATTTGACCGTTGTCATTAAAAATTGAAAGCTCTTACAAAGTTTCAAAGGCTATCTTACCAGAAATAAAGTTGTGAATGAACTATACATGCCATAACATTTTTTGAAAGCATATTTGACTAATAATTTTAAGATATATATATTCAATTTGTTTTTGCATAAATAAAAAATGAAAGCTAAGAAAAGTGTTTATATAGATATATAGTCTATTCTTTTGCATGGTGTTAATAGATGCTATCAAGTTAGTTCATAGTGATCCTCTCTACCAACCCTAAACAGAATAAAACACTGCCCAGTCCTGTGACATCTCACAATTGTTTGAACCCATTGTTGCAGTTACTGAGCCAATCCAGCTTGTTGAGTGTGGTATCGATTTTTGAGAAAAACCTCTAAGAAGAGTACAGAGATGCAATACATTTGTTTCACGTCTTAGACCCAAATAATTAAAAAATAAATGATTGTACAAACTTTAACGCCTGTTGCTGTTGTGAGGTGCCCGCAAGTATGTTCCAACCCGTAGCAACCTTTCACACAACAGAACGAAATGCTCCCAGGCTTGTGCCACTCTCACAACTGTTCCTGTGCTTGAGCAGTCACGGTGTGATGCAGCTTGTAGAGGGCTTTCTCCTTTTCCTGGCTCTTCACTGTACCAAACATGATGTCCTTCTCCAGGGACTGGTCTCTCCTGACAACGTGTCCAAAGGATGTGAGATGAAGTCTCCCTATCCCTTCTTCTCCAGAGCATTCTGGCCGTACTTCTTTTAAAACAGATCGGTTTGTCCTTTTAGCAGCACCCCAAGCTAAAACTGAGAAATGTAAAGGGGCCACTGACGGGGGGTGGGGGGGTGTCTGTGTAAGAAGGTCTTGTGTGGATTCTCTGGAGTAGTTAGCAGCGCAATGCTTAACTTTGATTATAATTTATTTACATGTACTCCTCCTACATTGTATTGTGTGTCCTCTAGTGTAGCATAACCAATTCAGTGTGTGGCAAGGTCAGTCTGGCACATAGTATGCTCTTAATATAGTTGTTGAATACACTAATTTAATAATGACAATAAGGCAACAATTTACTGTATATAAAAAAGCTCTGGAAAAGTTTGATGTAGAGATATCCAGGCCTTCTTTCCAAAAAGGATTTAATTAAATCAATTAATTTATTTTTATCATTTTACTGGGAGCTCTTAGAGATATCATAACACTCCATAGTTCGATCACATCAAGAAGGATTGTACAATTGCTACCGCAATCAGTTTCAAAACACTTTCTTTCTTCTTGAACTCTTCAGCTCCCCTTTACCCGCCCGCCCCCTCACCAGCAACCCTTATTCCTTTTCTCACTTTATAAGGTTTTTTTTGCCATATCTTCAAAAAGGATTTTAAATTTCATTTAGAATTTGAACCTATATTTCTCTGTTTATCAAACAAACTAAAAAAAACCCCACAGCCTTCTCTACATGACTCCAATCAAGCCAAATGCTTGATTGGAATTATTTTCCACTTTCCCTAGATTGGATCCGCAGTATGCTATTTGTGTAGCAGAATTTAATGGAAATGGAAACTTCTGTGTGGTTGCTGAGGGTATCTTTGTTTTGTTTTGTTTTTTAACTCAGACTGCATTAAAAAATCTTCT